TCAGTCCCTGGCTGTGCCCCCCCGGCCCCACCACTGTCATCGCAGCAGTTAGCGGGTGCCTGGTGGCCACGATCCCGGAGCCTTGTTAGTGGGGCTGGAATCTGGCCCTGGCTTGGGGGCAGGAATGTGCCACCCCCCAGCCAGGATAGCCCAGGCACTGTGGGACTGGCTGGGGCTCCAAGGGCCAGCTGGAAGCTGGTGGGCAGGTGCAGGGCAGTGCCAGTCTGCCACGTGGCCCAGCTTGCCCTGCAGGTACCTGTGCTGCTTGGGGTGCACAGATGGAGATGTGGGGTGCATGCTGTGCCAGGGGGCCCTGGTGCCCATTGCCCTAGTGAGCATGTCACACGGGACTGAGAGGGCTTTTCGGAAGTAGGCATTGCTCCAGCACTGTTTTGGGAAGCAACCATGCCTGCATTGGGGTAGAGGGAAAAGACTATTTTCTAGGTGTTTGTGTATTTTTGAGCAGTGTGCAGGGCCCACGCACTGTGCCCTTGGCAGAGCATGGCAGGCTGGCAGTGTGCCCACCCCCAATCCCTCCCGGGGTCAGTGGCGTGTCGCAGGGCAGCGTGGCGCCGTGCTGCTGCTGTCCAGACTGTGTGTCACCCACAGGCTGGCAGGCATCAGGGTTGGGGGGCCTCAGCCGGTATCCAGGGCCCCCTCAGACCCTCCCCACAGCCCTACCCTTGGCCAGGGACTGCTGCACACATACCCACATCACCCCTGCACCCACTTGCCCCAGGTATGGGGGCACAGCTGGTCACATAGGTTTGCTGCAGGGGTCTGTGTGTGCCAGCTGCCTGTACCCTCCCCAAACCCTGCTGCCCTACACCTGCAGCCCTCCAGGACCCCCTTCTTCCCTGGGCAGGCATCTCTGCCCGCAGCCCCCATGGCAGAGGGCACCATCTGTCCACTGCTCCCATCCCAACCCCACAGCCTTGCATTGCCCGGTATCCCCTGGGGTGCCAGAGCCCCCGCCAGCCCCAAGCCCACTCCCCAGAGTACCTTCTGCAGCCTCCCTGGGCATGGCTGCCTGTGCTGGGCAGCGTGAGCGGGCAGTGAGGTGGTGCAGGGCTCCCAGGAGCTGGGCACTGGGCTCCCGGTGCGCCAACTGCGCCGCTTAAAATAGGACAGTGAGAAACACGGTTGGGGGGCGATAAAAATAGCTGTGGGGAGGGGGGCCTGGTGGCGTGGACAGGGCTGCGGGCAGCACAGTGCCAGTGGCAAAGGGACAGCAGGTTGTGGCAGTGCCCCATGCCCCCTTTCCCAGGGTAAAGCTGCTGCCAGCTCACAGGATCAGGGCAGAGCCCATGCAGGAAAACTCATGCACTGTTGGACCCATCCAGAGCCAAACTGGGGTCTGTGCTGCCTCTCAGCAGCAATGGCAACTGTGCCCAGCATGGCGACACCACAGAGTCCCCCAGCTTTGCCCACAAAGACCATGCCAGCTGTGCCAGGAGAATTTATTTAGGTTAATGAGACCATAGGAAGTGCCAGCAGCAGCACTGCTGGGGTAGGGGACCGCGGCGGTCCCTGGCCTTTGTCACCAGCCCCACGTGCCCTGTGGCAAGCAGGTGTCAGAGGATGTGAGATCCTTGTGCCCATAGAGGCTGTGAGAGTGGGCGGGCACCTGGCAGGAGGTGGCAGGGCTGAGCCATACCCGCTGGGCACAGCCCTCCCCTGCCCAGCCACGGTAGCAGTGGCAGCGGAAAGCAGCCCACGGGCTGGCACCGGGGCCGAGGTGCAGGAGGGTGCCCAGCTCGTGGGGCTGCCGGCGCACACAGCGCCCGTGCCCGTGGCACTGCCCGTAGCTGCACTCTCGGGCTGCTGCCGTCACGTTGGCCACGTAGGGACCCAGGGTGGACACGAGGTAGTGGTGCAGGCTGGCACAGCTTTCCTGGGGAGGAAGCACCAGTGAGAACGCATCCCAACCACAGAGACCTGGCCAGCCCTCCCTGGTGGGCACAGGCAATGTGGCCACCCCGTACACCCCACAGCCTCTGGTGCTGCAGGGGCCATACTCACAGCCGAGTGGGAGTAGGACAGGTCTCCCCAGAGCACGACTCCAGCCGCTCCCAGCGCCGCGCTCTCCCCGATGGTGTGCACCAGGTCAGCCTGCCAGGAACACAGATGTGACCCATCTGGGGGACACAGCCTGTGTCCCTGTGCCAACCAGAACCCCCGCGTGCTGGCACCTGCAGCCAGCTCCAGCCCCACAGTGCTCACCAGCTGCAGGAAGCGCGAGGAGCGGCGGAAGGAGAGGCGGGAGTAGGGGATCACGGGCAGGAGGCCGTGGGCCCCGCGGGCGGCCACGCGCAGCGCCTCGCGCAGCCGGTGGTGCACGAAGCGGCGGCGCAGCGTGGGCGGCAGCGCCAGCGGCAGGTAGATGCTGGGGTACAGGGCAGAAGAGGCGGCCCAGAGCCAGCCCAGACGGTTGTTCCGCTGCACCTCTGCCGGCTGGCACCGCCCGGTGTAGTTTGCCTCCTTGGCCCAGTTGCTGTTGAGGCAGTCGGGAAAGCGGTAGAAACCCCAGAGCCCCCCGGGGCGCAGGGCTCGGCCCACCAGAAGCGTCTCCTCCATCAGAGCCTGTGCCGCCCGCTCAAACTCCAGCTGGGCCAGCCGGAGCTGCTGCCGTGCCGGCAGGAAGCCGTGCTGCTCCCGCACCCACTGCTCCGAGGCTGTCCGGTATATCCTTTTGGCTCCCCAGTTCTGGGCCCACAAGGGCCTCCACTCCTCCCAGTCCACCACGGCCAGGCCATGGAAAGCAGGTCGCAGGAGGAGGCGGATGTCCTCAGCCACCCTGTTGATGTGGGCATCGAGGGAGACACGCTGGGGGAGGCCCCCGTTATGGGGCACACCGTGCTGTGACAGGTAGGGGTACAGCCCAAACTTGTTCTTGTAGAAGATGGTGATGTTCTGGCCAGCAAAGTGGCCACCCTGGTTCTCCACGATGCCGTAGTCGCCGAGGGGCAGCCCTATGCCAAAGCGGCGCTGGCAGCGCTCGGTGGGGACGTTCCACACCACGGCAAAGGGCTGCCCGCCTGCCAGGGGCTCGGGTGCCGGGCTCTCCTCGCTGGCTGTGCCCAGTGCCAGGCAGGCCCACAGTGCCAGCACCAGCACCATCCCGCCTCACCAGCTGCTCGCGGGGCCGGCACCCTGCGAGGAAAGGAGAGCCGTGGGGATGAGGCTGTGGGATGCAGGGGGCATTCCAGCAATGCAGGCACTGCCCCCCGGCACATGGTGGACTAGGACTGGCCACAGGGGCTGGGCTGTCCTGCAAGCACATGCTGCCCACCCCAAAACCTGACAGGACTGGGTACACTTGGGGCTTTGAGATCCCTCCTGCCTCAGCACTGCCAGTGTTACCCTATGCCTGCTGCTCTCTGGTGCTGTGATCCTACTTGCACCACCACAGCCATGGCACAGCTCTGGAGTGGCACTGCAAGCCACTGACCCTGGTGCCTCAATTTCCCTGCTGGCTCCCAGTCCTGCCTGTAGTGGAGGCACCAAGACTTCCTGGTCCCCATTTCAGCACAGTGCTGAGCCAGGCTGGGTGACCTGCTGAAGGACAGAGTCCGACCAAGAGGCATGGTGTGGGGCCAAAGGGACAGCTCTGTCCCTCATAGCCCAGGCAGGGCCAGAGGGGTCTGGTGCCCCTGCCCAGCACTGGCCAGCTGCCCAGAATGAGGGGATTAGGCGGGGAATGGGCCCAGGGCCGCGTGACACAGCAAGGACAGTGCTAATCCCTCGCTGCCAGTCCGGACGCTCTCTCTGACCTTCCCACTCCCATACATGTCCCTCCCATGCCTAACACCAGCTGCCTCAGGGGGGCTTGGCCACCTGCCCCCCTCGCTGTGCAGTGCAGGGGACCCAATTCTGCAGCCCCACCACCATGCCCTACTCCCACAGTGCCCCCCCCCACCCAGCCATCCTGTGCCTCAGTTTCCCCAGACTGCTCAGTGAGGACAGCTGTGGCCATGCTGGAGGCCACCACTTCCATCAGCCCCAGCTGCCCCACTCAGTAAATCCTGAGTGGAGGACACAACTAGCGGGACTGGGCAGTGCTCCTGGGGACTAGTGCCAATGCCACAGCCTGCGGTGGGCCTGGCTCCCCACCATGCTGGTGGTCCCAGAGCCCCAGCCAGGCAAGCTGGGGGCCAGGCAGGAGCAGAGGCAGCGTGCCCAGGTAGGGCAGGGTACGGGAACTCTGCCCATTCCCTGCCCCAGCAATGGGGCCAGGGTGATCCACAGAGGCTGGGGGAGCTGGTGCCAGCCCTGAAGAATGGCAGCAGTCAGGCAGGGCTGCGGCGGGCAGCTCCCACCCGCACTGCTTTAATCACTGCTCGGGGCCCCTCAGATGTCCTTCTTCATCCAGAAGATCGGGAGCCCTTTGGCATCGCGGTGCGGGGTCTGCAGGAGGCTCTGCTGCTCGCCGCCCTCAGCCAGGACACCCCTCGCCCAGATCACAGTGGGTGGGGGAGGCGGTGGGGGCACAGCGAGGGGCGGCGGGGGCGGCGGGGGGACCGCGGGTACCCACGGCCTGGTGCTGGTGGCAGCGGCAGCCCCAGAAGGGGCGGAGAAGAGCCGCAGCACCTCAGAGGATATCGCCGGGCTGAGAAAGGCCACGCTCTGCACCGGCTCGCCCAGGACATAGCCCAGGTGCGCATAGAAATGCTGCTTGTCGTGGGTGGTGAGGCGCAGGCAGCGAAAGCCCCGGGCCCGGGCCCACTGCTCAGCGGCCTCCATCAGCCGGCGCCCGTAGCCCCGGCCCCGCAGCGCCCGCGCCACCACCACGCTCTCCACGAAGAGGTCATGGGGACGGCTGAGCACGCGGGACAGTCGCACGTGGCCCACGAGCTCGCAGGGCCCCTGCCGGGGGGTGGCAGGGCTGTCGCTGGGGCCGCGGCTCCGCAGCAGCAGCAGGCACACGGGAAAGGCGTCCGAGGAGCGCTGCAGCGAGTGCAGCCGCGACGCACGGCTCTTCCCCCACTCCTCGCCCAGCAGCTCTGCACAGGCTTCCAGCAGCTCCGGCCTCTGGTGCAAGGGGACCAAGGTGAGCTCCTCTGACACAGAACCCATTCTTCTCACTGACGGGAAACCAAGCAGGTCACAGCTTAGAGGCAGTAAGGCACAGACCGTGCGTGTGTGTGCTCCCCCCAGCCCACCACTGGCCCCAGTACAGGCACGGTGCCCCAGCAGCACAGCCAGATGAGTTCATGGAGGTTTGGCAGGTCCAAGGACAAACAAGAGACTCATGGCAGGGAAGTGGCACATGGTGCCAGCTCCAGGAAATCATGCCATGAGACGTACAGAAAGGTCTAGCACTGCCAAATCAGCGGAGGGGCAGGAGGCACAGTGCTTCCTCCCCAGTCCCTGCCACCAGCTCCTGCCACCTTGGCACCCATCAGACCAGCTAGCTCATCACACATGTCCCCAGTCAGGGTTCTGAGAAGCCCAAATAGCCTCTGAGGGGTCAGAAATCCCCTATCCTACACCATGCCGTGGGGTCGCCTCCCTCAGCCTGGCAGTTCCCCTTGCAAACAAGCCACAGGCAGAAGGCAGGAGCAACCACCACGCCAGCTGATTAACTAGGATTGAGCAAACTGCTCCACTTCCTCTCTGGGGGTTGGGGAGGGACTCAGTCTGCCCTCCCACACCCGAGGTTCTTCTAGGAGACATGGTGGGGTCACCCCCCTAGCTTCAAGACTCCTGACTCACAGCCCAGCCTGCACTGTCCCCTTCAGAGGCCAGACCCCACCAGCACTCCTGAGGAGGTGATGGTTTCCTTTTGCCTGCCCAGCAAAGCCACGCCATGACCTCAACAGCATCTGCCTGCCACCCACCTGCCCACATCACCCTGCCTTCACCCACCCACCCTGTCTGCACCCACCCTGCTCACAGTCACCCTGCTCAGTCACTGCTCACGCTGATCCTGCTCACGCTCACCCTGCTCACACTCACCCTGCCCGCTGCTGCTGGCTCCTTTGCCCCAGCTGCCAGCGCAGCAGGAAGCAGCCCAGGCTCATGACCAACCACAGCGCCTCATTCTGCTTCCCCGGTGTGAATGACACGTCTGTCCAGGGCCCCACACAGCACCCTCCACTTCCCACGCTGCACCCCCACACGGGGCACTCAGCCTGCCTGCACCCCGATTGCTCCAAACCACACTGCACTCACACACAGACACAGCAGCTGATCGCTGCTCCCACTGCATGGCTGCATCTCCTGAACACGGGTCCCCACCCCACCACTGATCCTCACCGACCACCACAGAGCCAACACTCACCTCATTACTGACCTGTCGTTTGACCTGCCATTGACCCCATCGCTCACCCCACCAGTGACCCCCCACCAACTCATCACTGACCCTATCATTGACCCTATCAGTGACCGCAGCACTGACCCATCACTGACCCCCTCACTGAACCATCACTGACCCTCCACCAACCTGTCATTGACCCTGTCAGTGACCGCAGCATTGACCCATCACTGACCCCATCACTGACCCCACGCTCACCCATCACTGGCGCATCAGGGAGCCCCCACCAATCCGTCATTGACCCCAGCACTGACTCCCCCACCAACCCGTCATTGACCCTAGCAGTGACCCCAGCACTGACCCATCACTGGCCCGTCCCTGGGGCACGGCCGAGCCCCTGTCCCTGCCCGTCTCCCCGCTCTGTCCCTGTCCAGCCCGGTCCCGCCCGTACCGCTCTCCGGCCCCGCCGCCGCCGTCACTTCCTTGGCCCGGACCGGCCCGCCCGCGCCCTCTGGCGGCCGGAGGGCGCACGGTCCGTGCCCCCTTCCGCACTGCCCTTGGCGTGGGTTCCTTCAGCCTCAGAGCCTGAGCAGCAGCTCCACAGCAGCCTGAGGCCACCAAGACCAAAATTCCATAGCCTGGACAGGCTTCCAGCCAGAGACGGTGGCTCCTCTTGTCATGCTCTGGGGTGCTGAGCCTGGGGGCAGCATCAGTCCCCACTGGTGCATCCATTGCACAGGCTGGGACAAGCTCTCCCTAGGCCTGTTGCCCTGCAGAGACAGTGCAGGACGTTCCCACTGTCCTTCCCTGACTCCCCCTGTGCCAAAGAGAAAAGAGATTGTTTGCACATAATAAAATTTCTGCACAAAAGCAGTTTTTAGCTCTTCAGAGCACTATCCGTCCCCGACAGAGAAACGCTACCCCAGCATGGCCAAGGACGGGTCCCTGGCACTCCACAAAGGACATGGGAAGGGAGCAGAGGCCATGCCCGGCAGTGGAGGCTGGTTAAGGGTCCCTGAGGGGCAGGACGAGCTGACCATGGTTTCGGAAGCACCAACCCACTGTCACTGTCACCACGGGGGCTGTCAGCTGCGGGACGGCGCCCGAAGGGCCATGGGGGCAGAGGAGGCAGCCCGGGGGCCCGGGGGCTCTGACAGCCGCTCCGGGCTGCGGGTCCCCGGCACGAGTGGCCGGTCCGGCCGCAGGGACCCCGGCACCGGCACTGGAGAGGCAGGGAGCGTGGTCAAACAAGGGGGCGTGGCTACGGGCAGAGGGCGGGGCTGATGCGTGACGTCACTCTCTAGTGACAGCGCGGCCGTCGGACCGGGACAGGGCAGGGCGCGCTTCCGGGACCGGGAGGTGGTACCGCGGGGCCAATGGAAGGCGGGATCCTGCCGGCCACAGCCAATAGGCTCTCTCGGGGGCGTGGCCTGGGCCCCCGTGGCGGCCGGAGGCGCCCACGTGCGGCGGCAGCATGGCGGCGGCGGCGGGCGGCAGGCGGGCTAAGGCCCCGCGCGGGGCGGCGGCGCGGCGGCGGCCACGGCCGGCGGTAAGGGCCGGGTCGGAGGGAGATAGCGAGGCCGGCGAGGAAGGGCTGCCTCGCGGGGGTCCCCGCCGTGGGGCTTTCGCTGCGCCCGTCCCCATCCCCATTCCCGTCCCGTCGATCGCTCCATTTTGTTCCGCAGGCACCGGGCGCCGATGGGAGACCGCGGGCGACGGCCGGTCGGCCCGCCGACGAGGAAGTGTCCAGTGATTCCGAGACAGAGAGGTAAGGGCTGCGCCTGGGCAGTGCCGCTACCGCAGCGGGGCGTCGGCATCGGGGGATGCTTGTACCGGAGAGATGCCGGACCGGAGGATGCCTGTACCGGAGAGATCCCAGACCGGGGGATGCCTGTACCGGAGAGATGCCGGGCCGGGGGATGCCTGTACCGGAGGGGGTGTCTGACCGGGGATGCCTGTAGAGGGGGTGTCGGACCGGGGGATGCCTGTACCGGAGACATCCCGGACCGGGGGATGCGTGTACCGAAGGTGTGCCGGTACTGGTGGGGTGCCGGTACCGATACTCACGCACACGTGTCCCCGCAGCCCGTTGTTGGGGCGGCGGCGGCGAGAGGCAGCGGAGGAGGAGGTGGAGGAGACGCCGCAGGAGAAGAAGCTGCGCTTGGCCAAGCAGTACCTGGAGGAGCTCCGGCAGCTCGGTGAGTCCCGCCCGGTACCGGTGCCCCGCGGGGCGGCCCCGGGCGCTGAGCCCGAGCCTCACGCACTGTCCCGCTGCAGAGGAGGAGCGGGCGGAGGACGAGGAGGAGCTCGAGCCCGCGGATCTCATCGGCGACCGCCTGAAGGAGGACGTGGTGAGCGGGGAGGCGGGCGCGGCCTCTCGGTCCCCTTCCCGCGGGACCGGGACTGAGGCCGCCCCTTCGGCTGAACGTGCCCCTTCTTCCCCAGCTGGAGCAGAGAGGCCGGCTGCAGCGCCTGGTCGCCAAAGATGTGAGTGCCGGGGTGCCAGACTGCCAGTGCCAGCCTCGGGGACACTAGGGCACGGCCAGCACAGTGCAGCCTTTGTCCCTGGAGCAGTCAAGAGTGCGGTGCGGGGGTGCTGCTGTGCCTGGGGAGGGGTCCTGGGCAGCCCAGCTCACATCCTGCTCTTCCTGCAGGTACAGCCCCCAGATCCAGCCAGGATCCGTGTGCTGCGGGGACACCAGCTGCCCGTTACCTGCCTCGTCATCTCTCCTGATGACAAATTCATTTTTTCTGCTTCTAAGGACGGCTCCCTCATCAAATGCAAGTGTTCACCTGGGGCTGTGACTGGCTGTTGCCAAGCCCAACCCCTGCAGGGACCCAGGTGCCCTCTGAGGTGGCTTGGCCCTTGACTATTCTTGGATTGTGCATGATTCCAGGCTTTGTGGAAGGCTCATTGACACTTTTGGGAGTGGTGGGAGGCTCCCAGAGGGTGATTGTGATGATTTTCCCGCAGGGGAGGTGGACAGTGGGAAGAGGCTGTGCGTGGTGCCCGGGGGGAAGAAGGGCACGGAGGAGCGGCACATGGGGCACGCGTCCCAGGTCCTTTGCATGGCCATTTCATCGGACGGCAAGTACCTGGTACGGGCATGGGGGGGAGAGATGGCCCTGGGGAGTGTTCTCCCTGGGTTCTGGGGGCACAGCCTCATGCCCACATGTGCCTTGCTGGGTTAAAGCAGGCCCTATCCTCTGCTGGGTCAGGAATGGGTCCCTGGGACAGCCACAGCCCATGGAGTGGGGGTGGAGGCAGGGGTGGGCTGTGGGTCTCCAGGGTGCAAGTGTCAGGTGTCCCCTGCTGCCTGCCAGGCTACAGGAGACAGGAACAAGCTGATCATGATCTGGGATGCCGCCACCTGCAAGCGCCTGCACATCTTCACAGGGCACCGCGACGCCGTCTCGGTGAGCTGGGGGTGTTTTGGGCACGGTGTCTGTGGGGCCAGGCAGCTGTGTCCTGCTCAGCATCCCTCACTGCTGTGCCGTGTCTGTCTGTCTGTCCCAGGGCCTGTCCTTCCGAAAGGGCACGCACCAGCTGTACAGCGCTTCCCACGACCGCTGCGTCAAGGTCTGGGACGTGGCTGAGAACGCATACGTGGAGACCCTGTAAGACCTGAGGAAATCCCACTGACCCCTCCAGGGGGTGCCCAGCAGCCCTGGGGAGTGAGGGGTAGAGGGCCCTGCTTGCCAGAGCTGTTTGTCATCATCTCCTTGTGCAGGTTTGGACACCAGGACGTCATCACAGGGCTGGACAGCCTGAGCCGGGAGTGCTGTGTGACCGCGGGGGGACGGGATGGCACCGTGCGGCTCTGGAAGATCCCTGAGGAGTCACAGCTCGTCTTCTCTGGGCACCAGTAGGTCTGGGGTGGCAGAGGGGGCTGTAGGCAGGTGTGTCCAGCGGGGGCAGTGCTGTGTGGGTGCCAGGAGCCCTGCAGGATCCCAGAGCACACCTGTAACTGCTGGCACTTGCCTCTTCTCTTCGCAGGGGCTCCATCGACTGTATCCAGCTCATCAACGAGGAGCACATGGTGTCTGGTGCAGATGATGGGTGAGCACGGGGCCAGGATGATGCCTGGGTGGGCAGGGTGCCCCCTCAGCCCCCTCATCCCTCCCATCCCCGCAGGTCTGTAGCCCTGTGGGGACTGACGAAGAAGAAACCGCTGGCGCTGGCTCGGCAGGCGCACGGTGAGCACGGCACCGAGGGCCTGCAGCAGCCCTGCTGGGTCTCAGCCGTGGCTGCCCTGCGCAACAGTGACCTCCTGGCCACAGGTGTGTGGGGTGGCAGCCTGGGGGGACACCAGTCCTGCTCCCACGCCTGGGCTGGGTGCATGACAGGCTCCTCTCTGCGCCCCAGGGTCCCACAGCGGCAGCGTGAAACTCTGGAAGTGTGGGGAAGGATTTCGGAAACTGGAGCATCTCTTGGACATCCCCTTGGTATGGATGGATGGGCAGGCTGGGAATTCTGGGGCTGGGCTGGAGGGTCTCTGAGCAGGGACTGCCCTTTTTGGGCAGCAGGAGAAGCCCATGGGAGCCCCTCACCCTGCCCTGTCCTTTTACCCTGCGCTGTTCCCTCCAGGTGGGTTTTGTCAACAGCCTCAAGTTCTCAGCAGCTGGTGACTTCCTGGTGGCTGGCATCGGGCAGGAGCACCGGTATTTTTCCCCCCTCCCTGGTGCTGCCTGCGGGTGCAGCTTCCCCCTCCTTGGGGTCTTGTTGGATGGTGACCCCCTCATCTCTCTCACCCACAGGCTGGGACGGTGGTGGAGAATCAAAGAAGCCAAAAACAGTGTCTGCATCATCCCCCTGAAACAGAAGACCACAGCCTCCAGCCCTGAATCCCCGGGCAGCTCCTAGCCTTCTGTCCCTGGAGCCACTGGAGCAGGTCACTCTGTCCCTGGAGCTGTGCCCCCCATCCCTGGTGCAGCCACCACCGTGCTCAGCAGGATGTGAGTGGGGGTTGTCACATGGCCCCGATTCTGCTGGCCCCCATGTCTTGATGTGGCTCTGCCCTCTGCGAGGGTCTGTTCCCTTCTCTCAGGTTTGGCTGTACCTGAGCTCTGGAACAATCCATTTTGTAAAAAAAAAACAACACCAAAACCACTTTATTTACATAAATTACAAAAAAAAAAATCACACTTTTGTTCACAAAAAAAGTCTACTGTTAAAAACTTGGTTGGGCTCAAATACCTGGGTCCTGTTACTTGCCTTGAGCCTCCAATGCCCCCTGGGCTCTGCAGGGGCTGGGGTCAGCAGGAATTTGTCTGCCCCCCACTCGTGCCCTGTCTCCCAGTAAGGGATGAGAAGCGCCACACCCAGTGAGGGAAGCGATAGGGGAGGCTTAGGCCCAGCCCAGCCACGCTCGGCGGCTCTCCTGAGGCCAAAACCAGGAGGAAAACATGAAAATGCAAAGCACTGTGGAAAGGGTGACGTGGTCCAAGGCTTGGCACAGAATTTGATGGCAAAGGCATCCCTGGGAAGCTGGGGTGGGCTTTGGGGCACAGGCAGTGTGTGGCACCGCAGTGGAAGTGGGATTGGTGCAAGCCAAAAGCAGGAGGTGGAACGTGGCTGGAGAGGGAGTGAAGTGTGCCCAGGGCTGGGGACAAGGGGCAGGGGCTGTGTCTGCACCAGGGCTCAGTGCAAGGGACAGGGACGGGGTATTTGTGCACAGCTCAGTGCGAGGTCCGTGCCGTGTGCACCACGGCTCAGTGTGGGGCTGGGGGACATGGGGACGTTCACCATGGCTCAGTGCAGGGCTGTGGGGGCACATGGCTCAGTGCAGGTGACACAGAGGGATGTGCCATGGCTCAGTGCTGGGGACCTGGGGACGTGCGCCGTGGCTCAGCTCGGGGAGGGGGTGTTCACCATGGCTCAGTGCAGGGTGTGGAGGACAGGGTACATGTAAGGTGGCTCAGTGCAAGGGGAGGGTGACACGTACCATGACCCGACATGTGGGATGTGTAGCTCGTGCTGGGGCAGGGACTGAGCCTCCTGGCTGCACCTGGCACCTCAGCAGGCCGTGCTGTGGGCACT